TAATTTGCTTTTGCACATTTAACATCAAAAGCACTCACGATATATTCAATTTCTTTGTTTTTTAACACAACACATTTCCTTATATGGGCATCCTTTCTCAAAGTAAACTTTGCCATTTATACTATTAAACTACTCAGACAGCACTTGAATGATTGCTATGTTTATGCGATGCTATACCCACACGCAAGTAGGTAAGATTGACAGTAGTGTATGCATCTCTGATAGAGAATATATATCGCTACTGACATTATTCGACAGCAGTACCATTACACACTGTGAGTATCGCTTCAATAATCATAAATATTACAAAATTCATACTTCAATGTCAGTTCAGTCGGAAAATGAGTAATTTATAATATGTATGAACGACGAACGGTAACTAAAGCTTCCGTTGTACCCACTGATTGCATTATACGCTCAAAGATACAACGCTTCAGATACAGTATTCGTACATTAGAGCATCGCTTAATAACGTCGCATGGCAAGGATTTGTAGAACGAAATTAACAGCTTTCATGCGATTTAATTGTGCTTTCACATTGCACATTTGCACATTTGTATCCAAACAATAATTTAAACATTGCTTTTGTATAGTTTACAAGCCGCTGAATTTGTTGTTTTTATCTATGAACGACGGCACAATGCCATTATGAATATTATGATTGTTTGTTAATATTTTCATTTCCGTTGTATTATTATATTACCCACTACTCTTTGTAGCAAAAAAATGTCAACTATCCGCCCCAAAATGCAGTATTTCATAGCAGCTCCAACTGCTGGAATGATGTTGTCATTTCAGTAACGAATTGTTTTGCATAATAGTGCAATTTACATTATAAGGATGTCATTATTGTTATCTTCTGGGTTTATACGAGGATTTGTAGAAGAAGAGTTTGCACACTGAAGGATATTTCATTATCTTGTCTAAGTATTATTATTTCTGTTCTGATGTGTATGCTACATGAGCACAGTAGTTGTCTTCTCGTTGGAGTAGAGGTCATTATCAGATTGAAACAACTTTTTGTCTTATTGTAATTTTTTAACTTGTAATGTCAATGTTGCGATAAATAAAATTATGCTTTATTATTACTATGACGATTTGTATATTTTTAAAGGTTATTCAAGAGTTGAATAAATTTTATTGGTGTTGGATCTGTTTTCAAAATTTTAATATATATTCTATCTATAAAATTTTTTGAATGTATTTGTCGACCTGTTTTTTTATAATGGTTTTCACATATTTTTTAATCCGGCTCTAGGTCCCTTTTTGTTAAATAATTCAACGTTTAATATTTTTTATTATACTCTATATTTCGAATCTCCTTGAGAGTCATTATTAGGATCATAATCTAACATAATTAATATTACTAAAACTATATCTACGTCATCCTCTTTATTCTATCATCTATATGGACTATAGACGATAGACGATTAAAAAAAAGAGACCTATAGACAGATTAAAAATTATATAAAAACCATTTATTTTATCATAAGACATAACCTACAGTTTAATAACAATGATTTCATCAGTATATATAATATATATACTAAGTATCAATATGGATAGTTATTTTTTAGAACATGAACATGAATACATCCAATTTAGTTTTATTTAAAATGAAAAAGTGTCTGACCATGCTACATTCAAATTAAATATATACTAGAGTGAAGTATAATATATATTTGCAGAGCACCAACTTGATGAAATACTAGATACCCGTTAAATATTAAACCGCCTACAAATGTATGGACAAAAATTTATTTTGAGTTATCAATTCTATCTTTATAAACGTGTCACTTCATTTTTTAACAAAAACAAAATTTTTTAAATGTGGTATAGAGAAAGATTTGCTAAAAGCTCTAGTAACTAGCAAACTATCCTCAGAAAACTTGCTATACTAACTACGAAGTGAACTTAATTATTATTCCTTTATGTATTCAATACGTAACAATTAGAACTATAATTGATTGCAAAATTAAGTTTTGAACTAATTTTGAACTAATTGATAAGCAAACCCATTCCCTTACGCATACAGTCAGTGCTCAGCTTATCACAAATGTAGGTATATATTATTATAAAGAAATAAGCAGTAAGAACTAACATAATAAACAGTATAAGATAATAATAATATAAGAGAAAATGCAATGCAAGCTCATAACGGTCTCAGCTAATAGCAATAACAGAAGAAATCATAATTTTACAAAAAAATGTTTCTAGGAAATATTTATGTTAACATTCATTTTGTTAGAAATAGTACTTCTAATGGTAATTAACAACAAGTCTTTAGGTTTGTGAGCTCTATTAAATATACAAGACGTAGACATAACATATTATATTGTCTCTTTATCTCTATCTTATTCTTTCATATACCCTCTTTGTTCTCACTCTCTCTTTCGAGTTCTCACTCTTAAACACTCTATCTGCCTCTAACTCTCGTATACTCTTTCATACACCCTCTTTGACTCCATCTCTCGTATACGCTATCATACACTCTCTCTGACTCTAACTCTTGTATATTTTCTCATACACTTCCTCTATGTAGTAAAACATTTTTCTCATCTTTCATTAATAATATAATAATTAATAAGATGATAAAAGAACAATGATAAAAGACTACAAATGCAAGATGCAAGTATCTAATTACCTAAAACCAACAGGATTTATTATTTGAAACAACTTAAACCTATAAACTTGAGTTTATTAGTTAATTACAGAAATTATTGAATAATAATGGAACTCAGAGATCATTATATGATCGCATCTGTCTATGCCAAAAATAGGACTGACAGACTCAAACCTGTGTAGAATGTCTGAAAGAAGAAAAAAAAACAAACCAAACATTCAAATAATATATTTTCTCTTGATGCCTTGTGTAAATTAAAACAAGACTAAATGATATATGGTCAATAAACTAATTACATTAAAAAAATACGAATATTTCCTAAGATCACTGATGATGAGTACTTGGCAATAATCGAAACAGCGTTATATGGTCAACCATATTTCAATAAATTAATCAAATTTTTGTTGTTGTTTATTCATGACAGTTCGAATCCTTCTAGTTTCTTTACGTCACATTCGTTAAAATAAGAAATCAAATAATACCCCAATGTTTGAAATTTGTTTGATATAACTCAGCTTGAAACTGTAATGCATTTAAATTTTTTTTTAATAAATAATTTTGAATAATAGAAATTTTTCCAATCTCTGACCGATTAATTTCTATCTACTGTCGATTAATTTCCGTCTTCTATCAATTAGTTTCCATTTAGCATCGATTGGATTTTAACAGCCTCTACTCAGACTCTTCAGCCTCTTTAGCTATCTTATATTATATACTTTATGAAACACCCACAATTAATAACAGATCAAAAATATTAAAATCTTTTAAAATACTTCAGTGTTTTAATGTTTGATGGCAACATTAAATTTATTATAGATCATTATCAAACATAAAAATAAAAATAAAAATAAATAATACACAACCAAAAATAAAAAATCAAATCACAACTGGATTCAAGGGAAAGCGTGAACGGAGCTAATGCTCTGCCATGGCGTGTTACATTTGGGTGTGGAGGAATTTGTTGCCTCATTTTTTTTTTTGTTGTGGGTCTTTTCAAAACGGTTCTTGACGCGACGTTACACATGCCAAAGCATTTGTTACCCACAAATCAGCGCCTAACACTGAAAGCATCCTTAAAAATAATTAATGAGCCGAAAAAGCTCATTTTTTGATAAATTACTTTTATTTGATGAAAAAAAAACGCAGAAACAAAAAGGAAGAAATAAGTACGGCAGCAAATATAAAAATTGAATGAAATAACGAATTCGCTTTATGCTTTTTATCCACAAAAGTCGTTATGAATTGTGCGCAAAATTTATTCCGAACTTCGCATTGCATCACAAGATTAAAGACACCGAAACAGTCGAAGAACCAAAAATTACTATGCGCTCAAAGGGAGCACTAAATTGGCCTACATTAGGAGTGTTTGTATTATTTACTTTGTTGGTTAGAAGGGCAAAAGTTGCAGACGAAAAAAAAAATAATAATAATAACACATACATTAAGACCGAAAAGTTTTCGGAAATTCTCATTTAAAATTCGCGCGCTGTATATTTTTCGATATTTTAAGTTTATGTAGTTTGGCAGCACTGTCCTTAATTACTATGCCAAAAATGAGCGCGATCTGTCAGACAGTTCGTTTACGGCAGCTGTTGAAACCAGTTCACCTCAGTAGGGCGTTGCGAAAAAAACAATGGAAAAAAATATTGAACAAAGAGTTTGCATCAAATTTTGTGTTTCGAACGAAATTTCGTGTGCAGAATCGTTGCGAATGCTACAAAAGGCTTATGGGGAATCAGTTTTATCGAAAACTCAAGTTTATGAGTGGTACAAAGCCTTCCAGGACGGTCGTACGACCGTCGAAGACATTTCGCAACGCACTACTGAGGTGAACTGGTTTCAACAGCTGCCGTAAACGAACTGTCTGACAGATCGAGCTCATTTTTGGCATAGTAATTAAGGACAGTGCTGCCAAACTACATAAACTTAAAATATCGAAAAATATACAGCGCGCGAATTTTAAATGAGAATTTCCGAAAACTTTTCAGTCTTAATGTAACATTCATATTCATCTGTGCATGCGTTGGGGGCGGAAGTTATAATTAGTTCCGGTTTGTATATACTTTTTCTCGAATAGTATGTTTTTCATACGTTAAAGCAATTCGCAGTCATTAAATTAGTTTGAAAAGATTACTGATGAGATTAAATATTAAGTGGGAACATATGAGACTGGAGTGATGCTTTCGGATCGGAGGTTTATAAATTAGTACTATATTTGGGGGTTGCATTAATTGAACACTTATTGTAGGGAGTTTGGTAATTTATTCTGTAAAAGTGAAATGTTTAGGAAGATAGACAAGCTTTCTCGATTCGTTGTGGTTAAATGAAGTTTTGAAAAATTTTGTGAAACATATTTTTGTGAAGAATTTTTTAAAGTTTACGTTTTCATTGATTTACCTCCATATCTGCAATTTGATTTATCAGCTGGTATGTTTCCGTTTGGCTCCAGCCTGTCCAAATACTCTTCTGAGTTATAACCATTGTATGGAACTTTATTACCGTGATTATGCCCATGACCGCCGCGATGATGGTGATGGTGGTGATGATGATGATGATGATTTGATTCTTCCCCATCTTCTCTTGATATTGCTAAAAAAACAAAATAAAAATGAAAATGTGAGTAAGCAAGTAATAATTAAATTTATATAATTAATTAGAATATATTCATTAATATAGAAAATTATAAATAGTATGTATATCTTTATATGTAAAATATAATTAAGCTAATATTAAAACAGAACTTTGTACTGACAAATATATTGACAAAACTAGTATGAGAGTGGAATCTATGAACCGGAATACAGTTGGAATAAACCTTTTGAAATAATTATAATAATACAGAAAAATAAAAAGCTTTTCTATAACTATATATCGATTGTTTTATATCCAATCCGCGAACTTATAGAACAACAAGAGCAGCAGCAGTGACATATTTACCTTTGTAGCATACTAGATTTTAATTAACATTTATATTTGTGCATACACCAATAGAAAGAATTTTGTTTTCTATTATAGGTAAGAAGATGGAATGCCTTAGACACTGTTGAACCAATCTTCACCACAATGGTGTGTTCGAGTCCTACTATGTGGTAAAACGGACTAAAACTTCTGATTTCTTCATCGCGATTACTCCTCTCGGGACCACGTTCACATTACTTCAGGGAAAATTCCTTATTCATTGGTTATCCATGTTTATGTTTATTATAGCGATTGCATTCACGTCTTCACTCCTGTTCCGATTTATAAAGTTTTCAGATTGATATTTGTTTTCGTTTGTTTGTGTCTAGGTCTTTCTTTTTTTCCGAAGCACATTTACGATTAATTCTGTGATTTTATTCTAATTTTCTGCTCGTTCTTTCAATTTCCTAATGATATTCTCGACATTAAGTGACCTATATTCTCTTTACGTAACGATTGCTTTCCGTGCCTTTTTTTTGCAGTAGAAAAAAATGTTCTCAGTATCATCCCAATCTACCTTCTGCTCAAAAAGTATCCGGATATTGTTGTTTGTTAACTACTCCTTAAGTATGTCCATTAATTGAATTAACGAAATAAAATAAATTTTATAACGTACTCATAAAACGGTTTCCATGTTAAAAAACTTAAATATTTCATAATTCTTTTTAACATATTTAATTATTATGTAAAACCAATTACTTCACAAAACAATTAAATAAATTAACTTTTCAATTTGTTTTTACTGTTTCCAACTTGAAAATATTTCAAACTAATTGACTTTTGTAAATGACCTACGGGCCAATTGTAAATATCGGTCAATATAATATACTACACTGCTTACTATCAGCACGCCCATTATTAACAGCTAACCCAGTCACTATACCATATTCCAACAGTCCATGCCCATATCACCAACACCCTTTACAAGCGAAATAACAGGTTTAACGTTCCACAATAGAAAATTGAACTGCTCTTTACCATATCTGCCCACAATTCAATTTTCCTACAAACTGACTTCATTCATGCAATCCTTCGCTGTAATTCTATTAGCTTCGAAATTTTGGTAAGACAGCATCGACATCCACAGCACTAAAGGCCCCGTACCAAGTTAGTCTGTGTCTTGTACTTACTGAGCCATAAGTAGTACGGAAATTTAGTAAATTTCGCCCAAGGGATTTGCACTCATTGAATTGAAGGCAAATATGACGTAAAATTTTGAAAATTACCTCTTGTAACCGGACTCACCCTTATCAAATTCACTCTCTTCTACCCCTGAAATTCAATTCAATTTCAATTGGTACACTGCATTTTGACATAATTTGTATGCAAAGTAGTTTTAAGTACTCAAGTGAAGTTTTTTTTATCCTATCTTAAAATTAGGTCAGTACAGCTGTGGCCAAATTATACCACCATCCAATGCCTTAAAATAGGGTGCAAAGTATTTGAAACCCAGTTCAAGTGGGTGATTTAATGACTAAAGCGTACATAGAGGTAATGATGCTGTAGGTTATGTACACCACGTCTGGCCGAAGAATAAAGGTTGGGTGTCAGGTGATTCAATGAATTTGTTTTTTTTTTTATCTTTTCGTATTTTCGAAAATAAATTAATTAATTCATTAGTGTTGTCATTACTGCAGTCAATATTTGGGCTAATGGTTTGCTGAATATTTGGCTCTCATGCTAAATGAATTTTAATGGAAATAAAGTAGATAATAAAATTCAATTATTTTTAAAACAGAGAGGCAGATGAAAAATATTAGTGAGTTTATGTCTTCAAAACAAAAAAAGGAAAAATATAAAATTTGTAGGAAAAACGAAGAACGGCTCGCTGCCTCTCCGATTTCCTTAAAAACCTTTATATATTCCGAAAGTACTGCTTAGTATATACACAATTTATGAAGATAAACAGTGAACAAAAGGTAATAGTTTTGTTAAATTCTGTTGCAATATAATCTTACAAACATTATCGTGTGTTTTATAAAACATGGGTTGGTTTTTTAAAATCATTAAAATATATTTTTCAAGCTATAAATTGCTGGTACATTAAGCTAACCTGTTAGGTAAAATGGAGGGCAGAACGAATCATCCTTAATTAGCGAAGAAAACCGTCTTGATTTCACAATTCCTCATAACAATGGGTAGAAGAATGGTCAAGCACGAACCAGCCAAAAACATTCTATGTTGAGTGTGTTAAAGAAGTCCACTCCTCCTATCCACCCTAAAAACCCTACACCTGTTTCTGGACAAGCCTGGACATAGACACAACAGGTGTTTTGGTGTCATCGTTACAGAGGTTACTATAAGGTAGGCCGAGCTCAGCTTATTGACGTCTTATGGTCCAGTGACCTATAAAGACAGATATTAACCTAAATACCTGTGATTTGCTTTTATATATCGAGTCCGTGACCTGATTGCTGAGGCAGTATAAACCAACTCACTATTTGCCTGTCGCAAAAAATAATCATAAATCAACCTCGATTGTAGCTAGCAGAGGCAGAGATTGAAATAGTGGTACCCGTAGAAGAGACGCCCAGTCCAGCAAGCTCATCTACGTCGTTTTCACTCATGTTATTTATATACATAAGAATGTTTGAGACCCGAAACTAGAGTTAACTTGGGCCTCTCGCTTAGTGCTTGAATAAATTGCCCACATTATTGCACTAATCTAGATTATATATAGAGTTCTGCTGCAGCTTTAATAAATGTCTAATTTTCAATAAGAATACAAACTTATTTTCCGCGAAAGTTCATGTTTAAAGTAACAGAACATGCTCTTAAGATGAGGAAAATTTCTGCCATCCTAATCGGTAGAATCGGAAATATGGCACGATTAGCCTGTGGAAAAGATTTTGAGTCCGGTACAATGTTAACAAATTGCTATTTATAATACTTATATACATCAATTTTCTTTCAATGATGTGGTAAACTTAGTACGTCTCTACTTTATGAACCGATTAAGAATAATTAGAGTTCATAGATTTGAAATCTTTTCATTTTGAAATCATGGAAACTGATTAGGAATAATTATAGTTCATAGACTATATGAAATATTGACGTTATTAACGTCAATACGTAGTCTTTCCAACTCTCAGATATTGCTCTAAAAATTTTCTATCAATCTATCTATCTAATTATAAGTTGTATAAGTTCGTAACATGCAACATGACGAATTGGCTTTTCTCTATTCGACGACAGGGTTAGAGTAGACCTCCACTGAGTTTATATGACATCTTCTGCACTTCACTGCGATATATACAACTTCAGAATCTTAACCACAATTGTGTGAAGGTAATAAAAAATGATTTCAACTTTTATTATAACTTAAAACAAAAAAATGCTTAGTAGTGGGACAGCTTCTTTTTAACCTTTACCAACTTAAGGTCACGTCAGGTATTCTCTGAAGCAAGCATATTTGAATATGAATTTACTGAAGTGTGAAATACGTAAGAATAACAAGAAAACAACTCATAAATTTTAACGCAACATTTCAATAAATCATAAATGAAATAAAAACGCAATAAAAGCAAATATTAAAAGCGAAGAGAAGAAAAGCAAATTAAGTTCTATAAAGTACACATTTAACCATAAAACAGGATCAACTTTAATAAAGGAACCCACAGCAAAGTAAGTGTGACACGTAATTACCATTTTTCACTGTTGAACGCGTAACGTAACAGACGTAACAGACGTAACAAACAGAACCAACGCGATATTTACGTATACGTATGAGTATGAACGAGTATGAGTGAAGCAGAAAAAAAAAAATATATATATTAAAAATATATAAAGCAATAATTTATATGCCAATGGTCAGAAAAATATGAAAAAGTATTTCAGAACGGATGTGTACAAATTATTTTACATAAAATGTAAAACCAGCGCGACAGCTGAGCGCAATTTGAAAATTAAAATTGAGGGAAAAAGATTTTCATTTTTATTTTTATTTTTATTCATGTACTTTTCTTTTTATTTTTGTCAAATTGAAAGTAACTTAAAAGCTAATAAAAATTAAAGGCACGGACTTTAAACCATGTCCTTCAGTATTTACAGCTTGTTTGGGTTAAATACCAGCAAAAGACTGAGTGGTTACCAGTTGACGACGACTTGACTGTAACGTTTCAACAGAATTTATTTTGAATTACTCATAACTGCAAATATTTGCGCTACTGAAAAT